TATGAGCACTAGAAAATAATACTCCACTCTACCAGACTACTATTAGAATTAGGAGTAGAATCATAATAGTTTTAATTTAATTTAAAGATTTTAAGAAGGATGCAAATATCCAAAGAAGTGACTAAATTATACATAATATTTTTTAGATTCTGAGCGGAGCGATGAATGTATTGGTTTTAAATGATGTGTGTTTTTTTTTATATTTTTATATTTTTATATTTTTATATTTTTATATTTTTATATTTTTTTTTGTGTCTGTCATCACGTTTTGGGACAGTAAAAGTGCTTCGATTTTCTTCAATAGTACCTTTTCTGATAGGAAAGTGAATCTAGTTGGTACTTTGGGGGGTCAAAAGTAAACATTTTCCAGTAGTTTTCACAAGCGCCGGGAAAAAACAACATAAAAATTAAGGAAAAACGGGAATTTTTACGCAAAATCGATTTTCCAAAAAATCGAATTTGGTTTTTGGTGTAACTTTAAAACAAATGACCGTAGATACATGAAATTTTCAATGGTTGTTTATATTTGCATTTTCTATACACGATAACATTTTCAAAATATTTTGATTTATTTTGATCTGTTTAGGGACAGTTTCATTTTTCATTTTTTTTTAGTTTTTTTTCTAGAAATATCAATAAAATTTTATTTGTTGGTTGCGAAAGCTTGAAAATTTAATAGAAGGCTCCTAATATGTTGTTTCAAAGGCAGATGAAAAATATTAAAAATCCTTAGTCACAATTTTTTTTTATAAGCATTTAAAGTTCAAAAATTGACAAAATATGGAAAAATCACGAAAATTAGCAAATTATTTTGAGTTAAGAATTCGTAAAAATTTTTCTTTTTCAATCTAAGATTTGAAAATGAAACACAAGATTCCTTATAAGATTATCTACCTTTATCAATAAAAAAATCTCTACCGGACAGTCAAGTTAAATTTTTGTGAGCGTTTGAAATTCAAATTTTTACAACATTGGATATTCACTCGATTACTCATGTAGCGATTTCTTTATTTTGTTGCAATTGAAAAACGAACAACTGTAAATACATGAAAATTTCACTGAATGTTTAAATTAGCATTTTCTATACACCATAAAAATTTTGAAAATATTTTGACTCTTTTTGAGCTGTTTATGGACATTTACAGCTTTCAATTTTTTTAGTTTTTTTTTCTATAAATATCAATAAAGTTTTATCTGTTGGGCCAAAAAGTGTAAAAATTTAATACAAGGCTCCTGATATATTGTTACAATATCAGTTGAAAAATATTAAAAATACATAGGTCCGATTTTTTTTTATAAGCATTTAAAGTTGGAATTTTGACAAAATTTATCAAAATATCGAAAATTATCAATCGTTGGAATTAAAAAATTATAAAATGTTCAGTTTTTATAACTAAGAGTTGAAAATTTAAAACAAAGATTCTCTTAAATAATTCATACTGTAACCAAAAAATCTAAAAAATATATAAACACACTTATTTTTTACAGACATTTTAATTTCAAATTTGGACGAAATTACATATTAAAAAACCTAGAATAACTATTTTAGTTTTTTTGTTGTGATTGAATAATATTATTCGTGGGTACTTGAAACTTCTAAAGTGTACTATTATATTTCTATGATAGTATCACGGTTTTTGTTGATGTATAACGCGTTATAAGTATCTAATGGATATTGTGATATGATTAATTTGGAATTTATTATAGGTACCTATTATAGGTCAATTTTTTGTTTAATACCATAGATATGTATATAATATGTCTTATACTAGACTGACATACCGTCACCGCTCAGAATCGTTTTTCTTATACAATGATATTAGATCATTGAATTCAAATTTAATACCATCCATTATACAGTGACCCACTTGTAACCTACTGTACAGCAGAGCGACACCCACTTGCCCACCTTTTTCTAATTGACGTCTACTCGATAAAAATATTGACAATGAATAAAATGCAAATGTAATGTATAATTACAGGCTCCAAATTTATTATACCAACTCAATTAAAAAAAAAAACTTCTTATGATTCAATGTTTTTGTAAATACTGACTTCAATTTCAAAAAATATTAGCATTTTAATTCTGAAGTTTTAAGACATTTTGCATTTAACAGAATGAATATTCATTTTCAATCAAGAGTGTATACGTATAGGGGTCCAGAGTGACGACAACTTATCAATACACCTTGTATGTTTGATTTAAATTTTATCTGGTTATCATAATACAGTTCTTAACAGATAATGCTTGTAATCGTTGTATAATGCATGTTGATATAAAATTGAAAATAAATATATTTGTTTATTTTTTCCTTTCTTAAAAATTTTTTTTTAGAAAATTGCTCCTGTGAATTATATTATGTATAAACAAGAACGCACAAAAGTGCATCGGATAGTAAGGTCATGGGAGGGGTTCAAACCCCACGAACCCTCCCCCCCTTGAGTACGCCCCTGCCCAAATTACAATGTAATTTTAAGGATTTGTGGTATCCAATTTAAAATATAATACAGTTTATTTATATAGTTATTATTAATTTATAATTTTCGATTGCGTAGCTATTTGAAAACACGGATTTAATTTGTATAGTAGTCGTAAAACTATGGTATGATACTATGAAATTATTAACTGATTATAATTGCGATAACACAAATAAAAAATGGTGCTCTGCTGTATAGTAGGCTATAAGTGGGTCACTGTATAATGGATGGTATTAAATTTGAATTCAATGATATAATATCATTGTATAAGAAAAACGATTCTGAGCAGAGACGGTATGTCGGTATAGGTATACGAGATATTATACATATCTACCTATGGTATTAAAAAAAATTGACCTATAATAGGTACCTATAATAATTCCAAATTAATCATATCACAATATCCATTAGGTACTTATAACTCGTTTTACATCAATAACAAACCGTGATACTATCATAGATATATAATAGTGTACTTTAGAAGTTTCAAGTACCTACAAATAATATTATACAATCACAACAAAATAACTAAAATAGTTATTCTAGGTATTTATTATGTTATTTCGTCCAACTTTGAACATAAAATGACTATACAAATAAACTGTGATTCTGTATTTTTTAGATTTTTTGGTAACAGAAAAAACTATTAAAGTGAAATTCTTTAATTTTTTTTAAGTTTAATTCTTAGATATAAAAGTTGAACATTTTATAAATTTTCATCTACAAAATAATTGTTAAATTTTAAATTGATAAATTTTGTCAAAATTCGATCTTTAAATGCTTATAAAAAAATTTTTATTTGATTTATAGAGAAAAGAAAACTAAAAAAATTTAAAACTGAAAATGTCCGTAAATATCTCAAAAAGAGTCAAAATATTTTGAAAATTGTATGGTGTATAGGAAATGATAATATAAATATTCAGTCAAAATTTCATGTATCTGCTGTTATTCGTTTTTGAATTACAACAAAATAAAGAAATCGCTACATGAGAAATCGAGTGAATATCCAATGTTGTAAAAATTCGAGTTTCATAATCTTATAAAAATTTAATTTGACTTTCTTATAGACATTTTTTTTTTGATAAATTTAGACAATCTTATAAGGAATATTGTATTACATTTCAAAATCTTAGATTTATAAAGAAAAATTTTTTCGAATTCTAAACTCAAAGTAATTTGCTAATTTTCGTGATTTTTCCATATTTTGTCAATACAGTAAAACTTCCATTAACGGTCACCTCTATAGGAAGGTCACTTTTATGTAATGGTCAATTTTTTTGGTCCCGTCGAGTGTTATCCTATTGTTTTCCTACCTCTGTAGGACGGGGACCTCTAAATAGCAGTCATTATTTTAAGTCTCTTCGGTGACCGTTATATGGAAGTTCTACTGTATTTGAATTTTAAATGCTTATAAAAAAAATTGTGATTATGGATTTTTAAATTTTTTCATCTGCTTTTAAAAAAATATACTAGGAGCCTTCTATTAAATTTTCAAGCTTTTTTAAACAAAAAATAAAATTTTATTGATATTTATAAAAAAAAAAAACTAAAAAAATGGAAACTGCAAATGTTTTTTTTAAAGCTAATTAGTGTAATTACCGCATTGTTAATATTTAATTACAAATATACAGTAGGTTTAGAAATACCTACTTATCATATAAATTAATATATAATAAATAATTTTCCAACTTTAAATATTATTTAAATTAAAAAATAAATGGTATACATTTTGAGATTGGTGGTTTTACATCTTATAAGACTAACGATAATAATTTTAACCAAAATAGTGGCATTGTAGTTTTTGTTACTAATAATAAGCATAAAATAGTTAAGGTCAGTGAAATGTTCATAGAAAATTGTAATTGTTTAAATTTAAGTTTACATAATAGTGAGGCATTTTCTGAAATAATCACTATGTATAGAGGACATAATAATATGTAACTCAATTGTAAATTAGTTAACAAAATTAAAACAAAAAAAAATACTCATAATAGGATATATTAACATAAATATTCCACAAAATAGTAATGTATAACAATATACTTAAAATGTCAACTTACCTTCGTGTATAGGTATATTGAATTCAGAATGTATTCAAGCATTCGCAATGTATTTATTATTCACCTGACCTCTCTTGTTTTTATTCGGAATTATACTTTTGTATTGTGTTTACTCAGGTTAGCATATATAATTTTACTTTTGAAACATTAGGAATTGCTAAGAACAATACTAAATTATTCAATATTGTCAGAAGGATATTATTTAAAGTGGATATTACATTGTTTTGGTGATGGTAACTACGAATAAGACAATACACAATTTACAAAGTTTGCAACCACTTTCAATTACCTACATAATAAGTGTTTGCTAATTAGAAATTATATTTGAATAAACAATGATTTTGTTATTGTTTTTAGAGTCGATAAATTAGAGTGTCATAATTATTTCATTGCTAATAAGTTTAACATAAAGTAACAATTATTTCTACTTAAATTTCAGTTTTGATAACAATTTCTATCGAAATGACTTCTGTTTTTCATATAACATTAAGCCCTGTTTTATTTTTATTGAAGTGTATGGGTATACTTGATATTTCTTATACCATGGAATCAACTGGATTATTGGTTAAGAATATAAACTCTAGGTTTCCCGCATTTTTAGAAAGAGCACGGATGATTGTGTTATTGATATGCACTTATATTTATTTCAATCAATATGGGCCAGAATTCTATATACTGCAAATTATAAATATTTTCAAATTTTGGAGTGTAATTATCGCAGCCAGACTATCCACAATATGGATAATCAAGTAATTATTCATTATGTTTTAAAAAATATGAATAACTCAATTATGTAGAATGTGCTTATTAAATTATCATAACTTATCATAAATTTTATATACGAAATAGCTCATACATACCTACTATAAGATTTTATTCATTTGAATTTACCAACAATAACATTAAAAGTTATTTTGACATTACCAAAAAAACTAATATAATTTAAGTTACAATTAACTTTATTTTAATTTATTATTCATATTGATTTATAGCAATAGATCCATTCTGTTCTGTCGAGAATTTTATGTAGATTTAGATAAGCTATAATTTTTCATTAGGCAATGAAAAATAGTTAAAACCTATATACCTATACGTCGAAGTTTGTCGATTGCGTCATCGATTTGGAAACGATTTTTTGCCCACCTTTTCCGTGTTCCGATTGCGTCCTATTGTATAGTAGATAAGCGTTAATATGACACATACATTGACATATTAAATCTAATATATTTGTCATATATAGTGTACAGGTATATTAATTAAACACGATTTTTTTTTTACTCGATGATTTTACGAACATTTTATCTTAAGGCTGGTACAGTGGTACCTACTCTTATCAATTTACGATCACGTAGCGATTTAGTATGTCAAGTGCCTTAGAGTCGAGAGATACTTTAAAGTTTATAGTTTGTATTGAAAATTCAAAATGAATACTCAAAGTATTAGTGAAAAAAAATAAAGAAATCCATATTTTTGATAAGTTTTCACAAAATACGTTATACCTCTAACATATTATATAGGTAGTTACCTACAATTAGTATTTAATTTAAACAAACCAATAAAAATTATAAAAATTATTTTAAAATTAAAATTAATTTCGTTTTATGTTCTGCATGCGGGCTTATTTTAATAAATAAATAACAGATTGTTTGTTTTTAAAATAAAGTATATAAAAAAAAAATTGAAGGCGGACTTAAGCGAACGGACTTTCATGCATTTATGCCCATAAACTAATGAAAAATAAACATACACCTAGGTACTAGTTCAATTTAAACTTTGAATGCTAATTTGAATTCATTAGCCTCTTTTCTAGGTTTTATGAAATAAACTTATCAATGTTTTTGTCTCATTGACATAGGCGCAATTTCAACTTTTGACTTGGAGGGGCTGAATATATTAAAGGCAAGCAGACGATTGAAATTTACCATAATGCAATTGTATGACCTAGGTTTTTTTCGGGGGAGGGGCTACGGCTTAGCACCCCCAAGCCCCCTCCAATTTGCGCCTATGCTCATTGGCTTTAAAAGTACATATTAGTTTTGAGAAATCAAGTAAATTTAGATCCATCGACATTGTTATATGGTGTTGTCCGAGGACCAGTTTAATACGACAGGCAATAATTTAATTATGTTTTTGGCCCGAAAAAAATTACCTATGTGTGGGCAACCAAAAACAAACGCTTTGCTAATATAATGGGAAATCTATGTAGCTTTATAATAGATCGCATACCTCAATAATTAAGAGGACATGATACCTTCTTGTGTTGTCTCCGTCTTACAAGTGCGTGACTTGGTACATTTTACCACTCAGCAGTACATGTGTAGCTCCGTTAGTTTAAAATTTAAGGTGAACTCTTCGTAAAATCTTTTATATTACTATATTGGCAACCTCGCGGACTTTTTATTTTAAAGCGAGTTTTGATTATTTTAAGATGTACAAATAATTTACATTTTTAAAATACCCATAACTCGATTTGAATGTAAAAAATAGTAAAAATCTGGCACGAGATTGCTTTTAGATTTGGTAAGAGGTTAATTAACATTAATTTATACATATCGTAAACTGAGCTACAAGTGTGGGTAAAATTTGTTAAGCACTTTAAGACGGAGACAAAACATGCGGGTATCACTCACGTCCTCTTAAAATAAATTGCATAGGTAGGTACCTAAAAATTATTTTATTCAATATTCTATTTTTGGAGCGATCAAAAATGATAGGATATCTACTATTGTACTGAAATTCAAATTAAGATTGAACAGTGTCAATTAATGAAAATGACTGAATACTTCAAGTACCATACTCTGTCTAAAGTTTTTATTTTTTTTTATTTTTCCCGATTATTTTAAAGTTCATGCACATATCATACATAAAGATTAATATATTAGCAACAGAATCCACACTCTTAATTGAAGATTGAATCATTTTGTCAACTATACAATATAATATTATATGTAGTCATAGTTCATACCCAAATAATGTAGGTACCTACTATAGGCATGGCATAAATAAGGAAGAACATAATTTACACTCAGATGAATATTTTTTTTTCAATTCCCGTGGCAGTTACTCGAATTAAATACCTCTGAGCAACATATTATTGTAATAATTGGTAACATTAATACCTATTTTTCGTTATTTTTGTTTTTAGATTTATTAATGGAATTATCGAGTTTGACCAAAAAATTGATCCACTTTCATCACATTTGTTGATCCCTCAACGTTCATGGAAAAAAATACAATGGAATACAATTTTTGTTTCATTATTTGCATACTTTATTGGATTTAAAATTTTACAGTTGCATTTTGGTCCCTTGAAGACTATAACTATTGAATTATTGATACACCATGTATTATTCACTATACCTTATGCTATGGATTATGTAGTTGTGATATCTTTGTGTTTCTTTCTTCAAAATGTGTATGTCAGATTCCAAACGTTAAACGATCTTTGGAAATGTCTACCGGCCGACTTAGTCCCCTTCTCCGACCAATGGACACACATCGAAATTGTTATTTTAATGGAAAACACGCGGCTGTTACACGCTGAACTGTGTGATTTGTTAAAAATGTTCACTCTAGGTTACGGTACAATGCTTTTAAGTTTCTTCATATTCAGCTTTAACAATATGCTTTTCAGTGTTTATGTAGTTCTAAACTCTTATGAATTATCCGGCTCAAATGCCAATACAAATGTATTTAAAAACATGTTAATGCTGTCAATCTACGCACAATGTGTTACGTTTTTGATGTCTATTATCACATTCGTTTCATTCATAAACAAAAAGGTAACTCAAACTGTTTTCAGAAGTTTCACCCTCATATTTTCTACAACTTTCACCTTTATTCATATTGTAATTTTTACATTCAATGCTTCATTCAAAAACTTAGATTCTATACCAGATTAAGTATAAAAATAATATTAAGAAATACCCGAAAGACTAATTTATATAACACTTAAGCTAAACTAATGTCCTGTGGTAATAGGCAGTGTTCGGATTAGATAAGTACTTTTTTATCTAGATAAAGATAAAGATAATGCAACTCAAATGTATCTAGATAGATATGAAAGATAACTTAACTCATATTTATCAAGATAAAGATAAAGATAAATACTTTTTATCTGGAAAAAAAAATACATTTATTTTTTAAATGGTTTTAAATTTAGGTATATTTTAGCTGGGCACTAGGAAAATAATAATAATAATAATAATAATGATATAAATAAAAATAATTACATTATTTATAAGCCATAAACTTTGTTTGAGAATCTGTATAAATATTTAAAAATATAAAATAATATCTTTTGTTCTATGAATATCAACAAAACTTTATTTGTTGCCTAAAAAACCTTTAAGATGTAATACAAAGCTCCTACTATATTGTTACAATGATATTTTTCTTTTTAAATCTAAAATTTGAAAATGTGATACAAGATTATTCATAAAATTATCTTCCTTTATCAAAAAAAAATTTCTACAAGCAAATAAAATTACATTCTATATTCATTCGATTTCTCATGTAGAGATTTTGATATTTTACTGTAATTCAAAAACAAATAACTGTATATACATGAAAATTTACTGAATGTTTATATGTTTATTTTCTATACACCATAACATTTTGAAAATATTTTTACTCTTTTTGAGCTGTTAACGGACATTGTCTCTTTGTCAGTTTTCAATTTTTTAAATTTTTTTTTCTATAAATATCAATAAAATTGTATTTGTTAGGTAAAATCCAATACAAGGCTCCTGGTGTACTTATTGTTAAAATATCAGTTGAAAAATATTAATAAATAGGCACAATTTTTTTTTTATAAGCATTTAAAGTTCGAATTTTGACAATTTTTAATAATTATTTTGTAGTTAAAAATGTATTAAATGTTCTACTTTTATAGCTAAGGATTAAAAATTTAAAACAAGGTTAATAGGTTAACAGGTTATAATATATAAACTACTTTATTCACAATAATATAATCAAATAATAAATATTTAGTAATATGACTGACCCCCTCGCTCAGAATCGTTTTCCTTATACAATGATATTATTTTATCATTGAATTCAAATATAACACAGTCCATATATTACATTGACTCACTTGTAACCTACTATACACAGAGTGACACCCACTTGCCCACCTTTTTAATTTAATTTTATATACTTTATATTGTTATGGATTAGTTTTCCACCTGTAGTAATAATAAAAATATTATTAATAATATGTGATAAAAATCATATTAAGATCGTATAACAAAACTGTAGGAATCTGCATAGCAGTATGGGTAGATTAGGCTTAGGTTTGTATATATTATTTTCTATAAACAACTATAATTATAATGCCATGGAATCATTATTAACCAGATCATAGATATATATTTTAAAATTCAACATATTTGAACAGAGATTGGAGATGATATCATATCTACGATTATACCGAATTTCAATTTTACACTTGGACATAAAGCGACAAGTAAAATATTATGTATTTTGTATTTTGCATTATTATTTATTACTTATTAGTTTCTATTTTATTACAGTAATTATTTCATAATTATTAATATTTATTATTCAGATTAAAATGTTTATGAATCAAATATCAGTTTGCTATTCGGACCAAATTTCGGCATTTGGATTTTTTGATATCAATTTAAATCTCGTTACATCTGTAAGTACCTATTGTTTATTTTTTAATCACCAATCATTGTATATTTCTATTTCGTTTGATATACAATCGTTGTTTACCTACTTGAACCACTGTTTCTTAATCTCTTTATCTTAACTTAATATTTCCCGTAATAATATAATATTTTGACCTACACTATTGAGTTATGAAACTATGATGGACTCATTGATCTGATCATTAGATTCTAATGTGTTAATAATCAAAAATGTCTGACAAATGTATTTTTTATTACGTTCTTTGTTTTCTTTTTGTGTGTATTAGTGTATAGGTGCCTACTATATTTAATTTCCAATTTTGTTTGTTTGTTTACAGGTACTTGTATTGTTGATTAGTGGAACTATAACATTGATACAAATGAAAGATCACCCTATGATATTGAAACTAAACAATGACACATATTCTTTTTTTCAAAAATTGAGTAACAGAAAATAAAATCAAGTGAATATTATATCAGTTTATCTCCGTAGTACCTATCTAGATTATAAAATATTGAAATATAATTATTTGCAAAATTATTCAATATTATAATATTATTCATCGTATACCATAATTTGAAGGGGGGAGAAATATTAAATACATTGAAACTGAGAACCATAAAGTATTGTCAGCTTATAAATTAAATATGAATTATCACTAAATATGTTAGGTTGAACTAAATAAGTTGATTAATATGTTTATTAATCATATCAATTCCGACATTTTATTATATTATCAATGAAATTAAATTAGCAATACCAATAATTAAGTTGTTAATAGTCGAGACAATATGGACCTATAATAATAATTAATATCTACGTTATATTAGACGAAACAAAACAATTATTTCCATATCCACAAGCAGTAGGATGTTTATTGTTTTTACCTCATGTACGACACCATGTCTGCAGATATTGCATAATATTCAGTTAATTATGCAAGTCATTTCGCCATGTTAATCTCTCAAAAGAATATAGCTTAACGAATTAAACGTAACATAAAGACAACAATTAACTATGGTTTATACTTTCCTAAAATGATAATACAAATATTTTTAATTTATAGTGGCATGGAGTATGCTGTGTATGCAAATATTTACGTAGATCACCATCGGGATATTTATTCATACAAGGTGGAAAAGATAACAATTAACAGACATACATACTGACAAAGCCACTTCTAAAATATCGTTCTAAGGAGCTTAGATAAGCAATGGTGCTAGACAAATTAAATATTATTTTAAATACATTATTAATCAAGAAGTTGTATTGAAAATGTAATGAATAATACATCATATAGAATAGAATAACACTATAATTATTGTAAACTTACATACATTAGTAGAATATACCTATAGTTTTAAGTTTTATTTTAATTGCCAAAATTATACTTATCTTCGTATATGACTAGTTACTGTTTTTTTTTTTTTAAGGTAACCAAATGTATTCTTAAATACTACTGTAAATGTAGATATTTTTCACTTCAATGTTATTATTTTTATTTTAGCAAACGATAATCCTCCTTCACAGTATATAGGTACTATTCCCAAATTGGATTGAATCCCCTGCACTGTTAAAATGCTGATTTGGTAAGTCATTAATGCACTTTCCTTGATTCTTTCAGCTGTTAATTTAAAATAGTTGACTAATTTTTCTCATTGAGAAATATATGCTGAAATATCGAGTGTAGGGTCTTATTCAAAACTAAAAAAAAATTTGTTGTAGAAAATATATATTTACTTCAAATTATTGTTTTTATACACTTATTAGTATTTTATAGTAAATAATTATGTTATTTATTTTAAGTTTTGTTGATCCACTTTTCTGTATAGCTTAGCAAGTCTTATTTGTAGTATTATAATTTGATGTATGGTATGTTGAACACTAAATTATTTTGTTATTTTGGCTTTTAATTCACAAATAACCAGTGTTAGATTGGAGCGGTTGACACAAAAATAAATAAGTAAAATACTCGGGTGACGGGTACACGGACAGACGGTACATACAGTTTGTTATACAATTACAAAAGTTTTTATTTTTTATAAGTTCTGTAGATGCATTATTGATTTACCAGCAGTATCCATGATATAATAAGCTAGGTATGATACACACGCGATACGCATCCTCCTCACCCGGCGACCTTTACTCTGACAAAAAATGGAGCTGGTCTTTAGCTGTTTTTCAATTTCTCATTACCATAATACAGTAAGTTCCCGTTACAACGAATACCGATACAACGAAAAATCCCGTTATAACGAAAGTCATAGAAGTCCCTTACAGAAAAGCTATTGTCGAAACCAGTAAAAGACCGTCGCCATCTTTGAGGAATATAATACAAAAATTGGTTTAATGCTATCATACATAGTTCATTATGTATGTTGTGTCGTGTAATTTAATTTTTGTTTTTAATAATATGTGTTATAAAATGATTAGGATTCTAACACTAATAATAATCAACGAATTCGGATTGGTAAAAATATCAAGTGGACTGTATTATAATAGTACATAACACAACATCACAGACATGGATAATATTTACACATAATAATAATAATAATAATTACATATGAAAATAGGGATGTAGGCGCCCACCTACTATATAATATAATAATGCCTAATCGCTCGTCAACCGAGAATAATAATTAATGAATAATGCTAATACCGTAAAATTATAATAACATAATAAATGCCACAGAGGCTATAATACAAAATGATGATATAATATCAATCAAAACAAATATAAATAATGGTACAAGTGATAATGTGATAATACAATAAATAAACCGCGTATCAGTTATGATATCGCGTTACCGGTTGTTGAATGTTGGTTACTGCCGACCGCTCGACTGTTCACACTCCATAAGATGTCCATATAACTGAATACGTGCAGGTATCTTGTATATGTATATATACATACACACAATTAAAACCGTACCGACGTCTGCTTACCCCGCTCAGGTCCCGCGACCCATACGCTGATGGCTGCCCGAATGTCCGACGTACTTTGGTAGGTTAACGATGGAATCGTGCCCGCGCACGATCACCACTGACCCGTTCGTTGAGCTTTACGTGCACCCGCGTGCACTTTAAAGACCGAACAGTTAATAATAACACCCACCGGAGGACTGCTCGTTGCAACTACGGACCCAAAACCACATGCCGCTAACAACCGATTCGAACATAACGAATATTATATTTTTATTAAACGGCAACATATACCGCGGCAACAACGAACAACAATATTATTATGGCCGACGCCATTCGCGTCGTACGACGAAACTTGAGATAGCTCGCGAACTGTCCAGTGCGATACGATGCACACTACTACTCGCCGAGGCGGTGGCCTTTATTGCCGGCGGCGAGAGCCGGTTTATCATGGTACGGTGGCGGGGGGTGGGGTTCTCTTCTAGAACATTCTGTGCCTTATCGGCGGAAACCCATCACAACAATGAATATTGTCGCCGCCAGAGTCGGTACCGAACATTCTCCCGCCTTTGAAAGTGACGAGCTTTCAAACTTTCTTGTACTGCAGGTCATCATAATCATGGTTTCCGATAACGCAAATTGAATACTAATTATTTAAAATGACTAATTATATGAATTCTAACAATATAAGGTATACAAACAAAAATAATAATACCAAAAAACAAAAAAAATATATATAACATATTCATCATGGGAGAGGATATGGGACGTCCGAACGCACTGGTTTCCTCTTACATGGGCAACTTGGTGACCTTAACAACTGGTCGCTTGAGAAGACCGTCGGCTGTTCGAATGGTCACAACGCGAATGACATTGTCAGGACCAGGATGAACTTCCACAATACGTCCAAGTTGCCATGACATCGGTGGGTGATTGGGTGAATGGATCGCTACTAAATCCCCTATAGCCATGTTGTCGGTTTGTTTGAACCATTTTTTGCGTCCCTGCAATGTTTGCAAATATTCATGACTCCAACGACGCCAAAATGATTGTAGCGCCTGACGAATCAGTTGCCATCGTCTTAAACGGTTGATCGCAACATTAATGACATTTTCTTCGGGCAGGGCTAGGAGCGGCTGCCCAATTAAAAAATGTCCCGGAGTGAGGGCGTCTAAATCATTCGGGTCACTCGAAAGAGGTTGTAATGGCCGGGAATTTAAAACGCCTTCGATTCTTATCACCAGTGTAGACATCTCCTCGAGTGTATAAACTTGGGCTCCCACGACCTTCTTAAGATGTGTCTTGGTGCTCTTGATGGCGGCCTCCCATAGCCCACCAAAATGGGGCGCGGCCGGAGGGTTAAAGTGCCATTCACATCGAACCCGAGAAGAGACGGCCTGACGTGCATTATCCGTTTGAAGCAAGGTCTTAATCTGCTTCGCTGCACCAACATAATTCGTCCCGCAATCCGTATAAATATTGGCTGGAATTCCACGGCGTGAAGTGAAACGGTCCATTGCCGCAATAAATGATTCCGTTGATAGATCAGTCACAATTTCTAAGTGTACTGCTTTCACTGCCATACAAATGAACAAAGCCAAGTACGCTTTGTGAGTCCGGGCTCCACGCCGTCGGCTCTCCTTCACAACGAATGGACCTCCGTAGTCCATACCTACATTATGAAATGGCCGAATTGCGGTAACTCTGAAAGCAGGTAAGTCCGCCATGAAAGGTGTAGGAGTGCTGGCCCGATATTTTGAGCATGGAACACATGAATATACTGCTCGACGTACGGCAGCCCGACCTGACATAATCCAATATCGTTGACTAATCATTGACAGTACCACTCTCGCTCCACCGTGTAGCAACAATTGATGATAATGCCGAATAATTAACTCCGTGAAATGGCACCGTTGTGGCAACAATATAGGGTGTTTCGCGCCGTCGTCAAGTGCAGAATTCTTCAGGCGTCCTCCAACTCGGATCAACCCCGTATGGTCCACAAAAGGAGCCAACTGAGCTAAAGTTACGGGTACAATGTCTCGATGAGTTTTGATTTGCTTGTATAAGTCGGAATAATGCATTTGTTGGGTATATTTGATTACTCGATATAAAGCCTGATGTTGTTCCGCAAATGAAATAGGTCCTGCCGACGCAGAACGCCTTCGCGCTCGATTAATAAATCGAAGACAGTATCCAACAACACGCTGCATCCGAGATATAGAAGAAAAACGTTCTATCCAGGGAACCTCTTCCTCGTGGGTATGCAATACACATTGGAACGAATTTTTTACTTCTGGTAAATTTAATGATGCCGTAACTTCCACGGGCGGCAACACCGGCCAATGAACTTCATCCTGACGTAGAAAATCTGGTCCTGATAAGTGCTTGGAACATGACAAGAGTTCTCTCGGAAGCATGCCTCTAGAAGCCGGGTCAGCCGGATTTTCATTCGTCCTCACGTGAGCCCATTCACAGTTGGGTACCAGTGCTTGTATCTTGGCCACACGGTTGGTCACAAAGACTTTAAAT